CCCCCAGCTAGGAAGCGGCAGGAAGAGTTCTCCGCTTGAAACTGTGTGGTGCTCGCCCCCACGGTCTCTCTCCCACACTCCCTTTTTGAGGGAGGCACCGGGTCCAGATTGAAGGGGGCCACGGGCAGTGACAAGATACTCCCCAGGGGTGACCTGAATGACCGTGGTGCCTCAGGGTCCTCACTCTAAGTGGGAGGTTTGCTGCATGGAGTTGTGGTGGTCTGTTAAGGTAAGCGATGTCTGGGGAGGGCAGGGGCCTGGTGCTGGGTTGCTGCTCCTCCTATGCTTCTCCAAAGGCAAAGCCCTCCTTCTCCCCACGCTGGGCCTTGGCGCCTTTTCCCTGCCATCTGCCGGAGTGCTCTCTGTAGGGAAGATCCAGGGGTCATTCTGGTTTCAGGGGGACCTGGGTCAGGAGCCCAGAGGCCACTCAGAAACACGCCTCAGAGACCACGGGCTGCGGCCCCCTCCATGGACAATTTGAGAACCAAAGAGGGAAAGGGAGCCACGGTCCACAGGGCCCCAGAGCCAGCAGGAGGCCTGCATGCTCCTCCATCCTGGGCGTTCCCAGAGCCTCTTCGTGATCCAGAACAGGGCTCTCCTCTTCCTCTGAAGCGCTTCTGTTTATCCCTTCTCTTTGTTATTTGAGGCTTTGAGTCTCTCCTACCCTGATGGCCTTCCCTCACTCTTGTTCCAAAGCCTTTTGGAATTTAGATTCTGCTTCTGGAGTGGCACTCCGTAACCTGGCACAGCTTCTCCACCTAGGGCACCTACCACTCCTGGTGCCCCCCTTGCAGTCCAGTGACTCCCAGGCATGCGGGGAGAACAGGAAGGCTCAGGGACCCAGCCCAGCCTCCATTAAGAGCTCACTGAAACTGCCCTGGGGTGGCACACCACACTGTGCTTTCACTCAGGCTACGAGAAGCCTACAGTGCTAGCTTTACCCCTGCCACTGAAAAGCTATGTGACAGCCAAGTCCTCAGCTTCCCTGGACCTGGTTTCTCCACTGAAAAGTAGGGATAATAACACTTGCCCTGTCTGATGCATGAGGGAGTTTACAAGGATCAGATGATAGGTGAGAAATGCCGTTTGAAATCGTAAAACGCATGCAGAACTGTGGCTAATTAAAGCTCTGTTCCAAAAAGACTCCCCGCACCGTCTGCCCCTCCAGCCTTCGCACCCTGGGAGTGGGCAGACTGCCTGTGGCTGAAGCCCCACTGCCACTTCCTCTGCAACAGTGCCTGACTGAGAGCCGGCCTCGCTAGGTATGTGGTGATCACTGACTGACTGGTATGAGGATTCAATGTTTTTGCCTCCTTCCCTGTGAAAAATCGGAGACCTTCCCACCGCCTTCTCTCACTGCCAGTTAGGAGGGTCTGATTCAGTCTTTAGCAATCTAGCACCTTCTCTGCAATCATCATTTGAAATTTTGGAGTTCTTATCACCCTGCCAACTCAGAGTCTGAGATTCCCGGAACTATAAGCTTGGAATGGAGACTACTTGCCTCAGGGCACACAGCTAGAAAGCAATACAGCCAGCTGTGTGGCCACCCCCAAAGATTCTGCCTGCCCAGGCACGGCTAAGCATCCTGATCTGCAATCCCATCATACTCTTGGCATCTTTTCATTCGCTGCACTTAGCACATCATTTACCTCCTTCCTGAGGTCCCTGAGCACCTTGAGACTGTGTTAGCAGACACATTTTTGTGTTCCACTCTCTCGCCCGGGCCTAGCGCCTCTGTGACACATGTGGCCGTCCCATTTGCCTTATCTCCTGTGCTAACCGCACTGAGTACAGGATCTGTCTCTTGATGCCCCTCCTGAGAGCTCTGCTAGATGCCTGGGGCACCAGAGACTAGTGGCGTCTTCCATATCTGAATCTTCACCGAGTTTGAGGAGTTGCTTCTCGTCCCCTCCAACCCTCCCATGGGCTCTCTCCTTTCTTCTCGCCCTTGCACGTGCCTTACCAAACACAGACCTACATCACAGTCGCATCTCAGCCAGGCTGCCATCACCCCATACTTCCAGGAGGACTCGCCCCACTCTAATTATATATACTTCTCTTGGGCCTGCTGCCTTGAAAACATCTGGCCTTTTGTGAGCTCAGTTAAGAGGCTGCTGCCTGTATCTGGTTAGCATAAGCTGAAACTGTAAAGGTCATCTGCCTTGATGTGGAAACTTCTGGAAAACCAGAATCAGGCTGATGTAGTCTCCTGTAATGTTGATATCTACCATGGGCTAAGCGTTTCGTGCTGGTTGCTTTGTGAGCATTCCCTTGCTCAACCATCCTGGGAAGGACTGTGATTCCATTCC